GCTAGCTCTTTGACTTGAAGAACAGTTGTATTGGTTTTCTACTGCTGCTATAACAGGTCACTACAAATTTAGTGGCTTAAAGAATATAAATTTATTATCTCAGAGTTCTGGAGATCAGAAGTCTGGAATGGGTGTCTCTGGGCTACAGTCAAGGCACTGGGAGAGCTGCACCCCTTCCAAAGACTCTAGAGGAGAATCTGTTTCTTTACCTTGCCCAGCTTCTGGAGGCTGCCAGCAGTTTTTGGTCGTGGCCTCTTCCTCCATCTTCAAAACTAGCAAAGATGAGCTGTCCTTTTCACATCTCATCATCCTGATCTTTTATGTAGTCAAATCTCTTTCTACTCTACATCCCTTTTTCCATTTTTAAGAACCATGTTCTTATTGGTCCCATCCAGATAATCCAGGGAAATCTCCCCATCTTTAAATCCTTAATCACATTTTTGAAGTCCACTTTTTCATATAGGGAAATATATTCACAAGTTCCTGGGATTAGTGTGGCCGTCGATTAGGTTCTTGTCTTGTCACAGAAAGAATTCAGAGACAAGACGGATGCAGAAGTTAAGAAAGTAAAGTGGGGATTTATTAAGGGATAGACAGTACACTCTCAAGGGGAGAGCGAGTAGGCTCAGATGAGTGGCTGCCCTGCGTTTCTTTGGTAAGTTGCTTACACAGAGTGTAAAAATGAATGGGTAGAATATTCATTGGGGAGGAGGAGAGATTTTTGTCCTTATTTAGTCTGGATGGGAAGTGTCACAGCGTTGCTGTATGATGGGTACTTCTAATCTGCAAGGCTAATTTTATTGAAATGAGGGCATAATGAGCAAAAGGTTACATTCAGACATTCCTGCCTTTTCCCATCTTTCTTTGTTGGCCTTCAGGCCACTTGTCACTCCAAAATGTGTGACCATTCAACAGCCCAGAGGTTCCTGCTTTCTTTGTCTGCCCAGGGACCCCTATTGTTTACATGATATATGGTTTCCTGCATTTGGCTCCATGACCCTCTCCTTTTTTTGCCCAATTCCTGCCATTTGGCTCGTGTCCCCTTTCTCTGTTCATATCTAGCTATCTGCCTGCTCCAACATTAGGGTGTGGACTCTGTGTGGCGCCATTATTCTGCCTGCCAGAGCACAGCCTGGTGCCGACTTCCATGGCAATGTCTTAAATCCACTCCATTTTGGATACAGTTATAGTCTGCATAATTACAGTCTCCTGTATTGAGCCAGGGTGTCTGCAATTAATAGAAGGTATAAACATAAACGATCTTAGCTCTTCTCATAAGACCTTAGTGAAGTTGATATCATCTGATTAATGAGCAACCATTCCATTCCATTTCTGCCACCTCAGTGGGTAAGTTAAACATTCACTTTGAGAGCTCTGGTGCTGTGGCCTTCCATTTCTTTCACCTCTTAGCAATAATGACTTCCTTCCCCACTTCATCTAGGCAACTTGCATGGTCCCATTTTACACCTGAAAATATTTCTTAGAATGCTCTCTGAAAAATCCTAAAATATATGTGTGTTGCTGTTTCCATTTTTTTCAAAAGTAAAGAAAAAATCCTTTCTTATGGTTTTAAGTGGATCTGAGCAGACTGGGTAAACCAAGGGAGGTAGGAAATTTCTTAATGGAAGCAGAAGAGAACATGGATAGAGAAAGGAATGAAAACAGTTCAGTGGCTCTGGACCCAGAGTTTCTATTGGGCAGTGGCAGCACATTACCTGTAGAAATAAGCCTGGCTCAGATCTTGAAGGGCCTTGGGTCATCCAACAGAGAATTAAGATTTATCTTGGAGTTAATAAAAAGCCATTAAAAAGTATTTTAGCTGAATAATAGCATGCTTAAATTTCTTTAGTGTTATTGTGGTAAATGCACTGAACGTGAGCAAGACTGGGCAGATCAGATAGGATTTATAGCAATTAAAAGAAGATATTATAAATCCTAAATTAAATCGGTAGTAGAAAGGAAAAGAGAAGCTGAATCTGAGAGATATTTAAAAGGTAGAATAGGCAGGATCTGGGGACCAGTGGAATTTCAGAGAAGGGCAACGGGGTAACTGCCAAGTCCCTACCGTGGGCAGACAGTTGGTGTTGCAACTCAAACTCAAGACAAGAGGAGGAGGCCAGTGTGGGATGTGCTGAGGGTGGGACATCAGGGGGAGGTGCACACAAAGATGGCAGCTGAAAATACAAATCGAGAATGTAGGAGAAAGATCTTAGAGACTTCAGAGTGGAAATCATTGTCCCAGCGGTGATAGCTGAAGTCTCTCAAACAGAAGAGATCACTCGGATAGATTATGCATAGAAAGGAGAGGAGAGTAAAGAAAAAAGAGTTGACTCCTGAATCCTGCCATCACTCTAGCTCTTTCCTACTACTGCTCACCCAGAGCACTGCAATACTCTCCCAACGCTTTTCCTCCCCTGCTGCACGGTTCTTCTCGGGTATGTGTGTCTCCCAAATTCATGTTCTTTTTATAACATCCTCTTACTCAAAAGCCCTAAACAGTTCTCCATTATCCACAAATAAACCCTCAAATCCTTGGCCTTGAAGCCAAAATGGTTTCAGAAGGAAGCTACAAAACAATAGTTTCAGTCCTCTGAAAAGTGCGTCATCCATAGGCTAGTTGTTAAAACCAATTGCTTAGCCTGTTTGCTAAAAACATGATGGCTTCAAATCTATAAGCAACTTCTTTAGATATTCCCAGCTTGGTTTGCTCCTCCTTGGTTGCTTATCCTAAAAGCACTTTTCAGTCTGAAAGTTTCAGGGTAAAAGGTCATCAGCAACACTACAAAGGGTGAAGATATTTTTACAAGTACTCCACACAAAGTACAAGCTGGGCACCTTTTTGGGGGGATAACACTGGTATCGGCTCTTTCTAGGCTAATCAAGGGATACTTCAGTATCTTTGATGCACAATGATTTCTGTGGAAATATCAATGTGGTCAATTATTTGTTTGAGAAGTCAATAAACCTTGGCATCACTGAAAATTGAAAAATAATTATAAGTAATGTAACTTCAGATATTCATCACAAAATTGCATATTTTGCTTGACTAAGTCTGAGCAGCATTAATCTTCTATAATCTCTTTGTAAAATAAATCTACCTACCCAAACTAATTGGAAAAAAAAGTTTCTTATTTTCTTATTCACGCT